CACTTTAATAATTCTGCTCCTTACCTCGTACAGACTGGAGGAATCGAGGGTTTGTGAAGAGAAGGTGATGTATACGTTTCGATAGATCTGGCTCCGCTCATGGTGTTAAATCGCATAATTAGCGAAATGAGTTAGGCACATATCGATCTGTAGAGTCGGAACCCTATCATTTCTGGCAAGATTTTCTCGATCGATTCTCGTCAAGCTTCTTTCGTGAACTCATTGGTAATCCATTTTGGCCGAGTCGGCAAAGTCGATTTGCATCCAGTCCTTTTCGCAGATTTTCCAACTTTCTACCGGCAGAATATGAAGTTATCCTAGAAGCTTGTGTATCACTGACTCTCTGGCGTTTGCTTGTAGGGATGCTGGTGAATTTCGTCGTCTTATCTACCCACATCTGCTCAGTACAAAGCACATTGTCGTCTTTGACTTGACTACGCGAGATTCTTCGTGGTACATGTCTCCTAAACGGGTGTTTCCCAAGCATTTTATCACTGTGAGCATAGCTTTGAGATAAAATTTCATTCCTTCTGCTGTAAAACTTTTCCACGTAGTTCACATAATGTCATTTCAGAGTCTTAATATTTGTGAGTTGAACTTCTACCCTGTTGCAAGTACGTTCATGCGGAAAGGATTGAGGAGAGCTGTAGATTTCTTGGGATTTCAATCCAGAGTCAGTATGTTTTATTAGATTTTGAACGCCTGCTTCACAGTTTATGGTTAGCAGGAATGCAATCTCTTGTCAGTTTCAATGTAGCCATGTTGCCACCCATCGATTGTTAGGATATTCTCAAGTTATCTGGGAGAAAGGGAGAAGGTAGTGTAGTGGCAAGTGGAGCCACATTCTGCGCTCACTGTTCGTCTCTGCGAATCACGGATCGTCTTCCGCTCAGGCCACCGAACCCCTTCACATTCCGGGAAGGGTAGATTGGTACCTATTTGTCGGAGAGGGTAAGAACATCAACCTATACGTCGGCTGGAAGGAGTGAGTCGGTGTACAGGTAAAATCACACTGAATAAGTCACTACGATCTGAATGAAAGTAAAATTTGTGCCGCATCCGGAGAACGGATTGATCATCTTTGAAGAGTTTATCCTTCTGTCTTGGAGAGCGAGAGTGGTGTGGTGTAATGGCTGGCGCCGCATGCTACGCGTACTGTCTGATTTCGCGAAACGCTGATCGACTTCTGCCCATGCTAGCCCAACCATTACTCCGAGGCCCAGCAACTTGTACGATTCTTAGTGGAAGTGCAATGTAGGTTTAGTTAAAGGCAGCGTCCGCGATCGCCTTCCGCGGGTTGTAGAGCTTATAACCATTAGATCATGTTGTAAGTACACTACTTGAAAATGCTCTAAAAAGACCTCATGTACGAGATTGAAAATGGACGAGTTAATTAAATTTTGAGCGAGCTCTCTGTATCTAATCGCCACATGTTGCGGCTCATTCTCCAAGGCATACTCGATAAGATTAGCAATTATCACCGCTAACGAATCTTGGTAATGAAAAAATGATTGAGGTGGAACTTGTTGACTCCGCCCTCATAGGCGGAGTCAGCTTATCGTTGCTGAGCTGTCGTGCTTTTATCAAGCGCTTTTGAGCCGCGAAAAAGGGATATCCGCTGTGACCACAAGCTCCGCCATCTTGTGCTCTAAAGGATTTTCGCACCTTGGTTGATCGCGGCGCTGTCTAAAAAAAGATGGCTCATCGCCAAACGTTCCATCTCTGTTTATTTTCTCTGTGAAAGGGATGATTAAATAGAGGCAGGGATATGAATTCAGTAACTAGTCAATTAGTACTGTGGCTCTAATGAGTGCCTTTTTGGATAAAGTAGCACGTGATAAAGTCGAAAAGGGAAGATTCACAGGGCTTCAGTTATGGGGACTCGCTACGTATTTTAATTTCATTCAAAATTACAGTAGCTTTTGAATTACATGGTATACAATGACTTGAGTGGCAAGCCATTGTACGAGTTCAGTGCCTACTTTAATAGAAGGGTCTGGTACCTAGTTAGCCACAGAAGGGGTAGAGTTTTTGGTTGGAACAGGCCATAGTCGACCCGGGACTAGTGTCCTACACTACGTGCGACTACTGTAAGCAGCACAAGTTTCCATTGCCCAGCTCTTCCCAGCGAAGGTGATACTCAATACGCTTGCATATTCCTTAGACTTATTTTACCTTCGTTTCAGCTCTCCACGCAAGATTATCGTGCCATCGAGAAAATCGCCAATGGTAGGTTCTGCCATTTGCCAGTAATTCAATCTTCCCTACCAATTCTTTGCTTTTAGGAGATATCCGATCTGCCATCAACACGATCCAGTTCTCACTATTATCTAGTCGTGAAAATTTCACCATACCAAACGTCTTTGAAGCTGCATCCAGTGATGAGGCATGTTTACTGGGGATTATGACATTTTAGTGTATTGATCACTAAACATAGGCGATTTAGCTATTTCACATGCTTGGGTCATTGCTTTATGCAAAACGGCAAAGCGAAGCAGGATTCCCAGACGTAGAGTTATCTGTACGGGAAGATCTACGCCGACCGTCCCCTACTAGAGAAATAAACGATGTTCTTCTGATGTCAAGAGCCTCAGCAGATACTGTGAGGTGTGTTTTAAAGCGATCTTGAAGGGCATATTCTAACTTGATGGAATTGGATTTGAGTGAGAAATTCGGTTTGGTAGAAAGAGCGACCCGAGAAAGCGTTTGTAACGATCTGATCAATCTTGAGAGTATTTGCTTCCGGAGAAAGCGCAGTTTATAATAACGAACTGGGCGGAGTCAGTCGTTTGCCATCTGATCCTTGGTCGCCCATTTTCCGGGTTCTCGACATCCTCAACGTATGAACGCGGCCTAATTTTCTGCATGATGACTGTATCCGTTGTGAAATGATAAGGATTGTTACAGGTTATGATGTTCTTGCACGAGCATGAGCCGAATTTCTCGGGTTCACTAGCCTCCACTCGGAGAGTTCTCGAAGCAATGTCCGTGAGTGATGCCATGTCAGTAATGTGGGAGACACGCCATATCAGCCAAGAGTATTCTTCTCAGGTGCTTTCTCTTTGCTATATATTTCCAATGACCATTTCCGCGATTGCTGGAGAGCTGGGTCCCTCTCCTTGTTAGAAGTACACATCTGCAGCCACTCAGAGTACCCTACTTTTGCCACTCCAAAGAGGGTGATAGATGCTTATGGTTATTAGAAACCTTGCCCCGATCAGACACCAACGTTCTTTCATACCGGCTGGCGTTGCATACGATTCAAGAAAAGTTCTGCAATCCGAGGAAAGGATATGAGAGGGGTTCTGAAGTGGGCTAGGTCTACGGTTCGGGGACCGCGAAATCACCCTTATCAAGCGAATTCCGCCTCCTGGTGGTGCATTGTGGCTCTGGCGTGCCTACATAGTCTTTCGCTGAGTGTCTCTGCTCCTCCACTTGCCGCATGCTTGTCCAAAAAAAGCTGGTTGGTAACCAAACCTCTCCTAAAACACTTCCGACGGTTTCAATAGCCCTTTCCATCAGTCGGTTGGCACCCACTCGATGAGTGTTTGTTTCATGAAGGCTTTTGTATAGTTGTGTCCTATTTGTTGAAGAAGAATATTGTTCATTTCCAGATATGCGCACGTGCTACAATGTTTTACAATTACAAGGCAACCAGTAAGTAAAAAATGTTCAAGATTATCAGTTAATGAGTCAATGGCTTCGTTTGAGGGATAGCGTGTGGTTTTTATGCTTATAATCGCCCTAAATGGTTTCCTCTGACTGATAAGGCAACACAACTGCAACAAGAAATGAACGAGGTATTCCGGTGCAACGAATCATCCGAACATCACCGTGCAGCCATGTTGGTATTTTCTTTCATGAATGAGCTATTTGCTGCACTAGGTTTTCGATGCCCCTACAGGCTTTTTAGTCAAGAGCTTTGATCTGACTGTTTCCTTCATCCTTTCAGATGAACTTTTATTAGGGCACATTGCGAAATAATACCTGATCGCTGCAAATCGCCCCCAGGGCGATTGTGCGATGCAGTGCATGACCGTCAGGCGGCAACTGGTTTATCGATCGGGGGGGGGGGGGGGAGGGGCATTCTGCTTTTCATAGATTTGCCAACCCATCTAGGTACCCTTTTTTCGAGTTGACACGTTTTAGGATGGTGGCTAGACGATCTTGCTCCAGCTTCACAAGCGTTCACAAGTTTACCAGAGTGAGATTTGTGATTTGTAAACCGGAACAGGGAAGCAATTATAATACAAAATGCCCCCCTACCGTCGATAAACAGTAAGCCGCATCGCAGCTGCTGTGGAGTTCTGCGCATTGCTGATGTCCACCCGATTCACGATGGAACGCGCCGTGGTCGTGTCGCCATGTCGATCGCGAGTGTGACGCGCACTCTAAGCCGTTCAGACTTCGATCTTCGAACATCGGATACGACTGTGGTCGCGCGACCTGATCCGATCAAGCCTGCTTCTGATGGCGCTGACCGCGGATCCGTCGCGCGAGTCGCACTTGTGGGTGAAATACACCCGGGAGGGGGTCATGTCGTTCATGTTCAAACTGCAACTCCAAGCAAACAACTACAAGCAAAGTTCTGGAAGACGGAGGCGTACTAAATATCACCATTTCTCACATCACGATGCTGTATCCTGCCTCCAATAGGCAGTTCCAAAAACGATATAAAAGTAAGTTCGACCTTTTTTGATGTCTTTTATTCCGTGTTCATATTCGCAATACTGACGTTTGCAGAAACCGTCGAAAGGGAAAAGGTTGTGTATAGACCTGGAGGATGGCAGAAAAATACAACAAAAGCAAACACAATGTGACAAAAGTAAAGTGAATATCTGGAGGACTGGCAAAATCGGGGGAAGGGAGAGAAACAACATCACCCGCTGTTGAAAGTTCTGCGTGTCTTACTTTTGGAACAAGATGTTCAATACTCCGCTTGAACGTACTCAGATGCAAAATTCAGTATAATAATTAGCATATTTGTAACCATATTTAGTACTATTTTAACATAGGAATAATAAAACGCTCAAGATATCACCAGTTCCTAAAAGTTAGGAGGGGCGTTATGTAGACAAAGGCAATAAACATGAACGAACATGACCCCCTCCCGGTGTAATTTCACCCACAGTAGCGCGATCGCGCGATCCGGATCGCGCGATCGCGAAGTCTGAACGCGCTCTAAGAGGTGGGCCTTTTTCTGTGTAGCGAACTTATGACCGTCACGGCGAGATGCGTAAAAATTGTGAAATCTCCACTGCGTCTGATTTTTTTGATTTGCTGTAAGAACTTTCACGTTGTACGTTCAGGAATGTACCATCTCACCTCTAGATGTACTGATGAGAACGGGCTGATGACTTGAACACTCAAGAACACCGTGCGGGCTGAAATGACGAGACTACAAAGCAAAGTAATCGGCTCATACTCTTCCTTCTATGACGGTGAAGAATACGGCAGGAAGTTCGTGGTGATGACGTCGTTTGCTGGTTCCGCCAAGCGGCGACTCGCACGGTGTTTTTTAGATCCGACCCTTCTTCAGTCCGACTCCACTCATCACATCGCATACACACATATTCCCCTTCCTTGCACGACCTGTGCTTTACCAGTTACCTGGTCTCCCGCCTTAGGCATCTCCAGTCTGTTCGCACTACTCGTTCCATAGTGATAAGCAAGAGAATGAATTGGGCCTCACTTATAGTGTTTTGAGGGGTTTTTTGCTTCTACTGGGGAGTCGTTTAGCATCTACAGATACAGAGTGGCTCCCACTACCCATGATCTGTAATCACGGAATGTATCTTTAAATCCATTGATGGCGATTGCATAGTTACTGGAGTTGTTTCCTAAGTTTTCCTTCTACCTGTCATCTTATAGGGAGAAGTCTTTCAAGAACTCGCTGCCAAGTTCTTCTCAAGAAGAAACTGATTCGGATGAAGAGAGGATTCGTCATCGAGGATTCTGAAGAAGAAGTACAAAGTGATGACAGTTTTGATGATCCTGTCACGTTTCATTAGGTCAGAGGATATACTTTAGCTCGATCTCATGTCTCTAGAAGCGTTCAGACTTTACAGTGGAGCGCGTCGACGCGCCATACTACGCGTCGACGAGATAAATTGCCACAACGCTCCAGTGCCGTAATCGCGAACGCAGACGGGAATCGATCGGCGTCGGCCGCTCGTGTATTGTGAGAGTATGGAGGAACAGGAGGGTACATGTTGCGTAGTCGC